AGCTATTCCTTTCTTTGATAAAAGTATACAAATTTTCTAAAACAAATCAGTTATAATCAATTTTCACCTTTTGTGGTGTGCGTTTTTACCACAAAAAGGTTGCAGGCTTAAAACGACGATTGCATGCACACGATGAGTGATAGAAGGAAAAACCTTACACAAATTAAAAATAAAACCAAAAAAACAACAAAATTTTTAAATACATAAAGTTTTTTGAAAAATAATCGAACATTTCCTAAAAAAATAAAATTAAATTATTACAACTTCACTTAGGTTGTGTCCACTTTGGACATGTAGAGCATCCAATCGAAGCATAAAAATTAATATACATTCTGCTCAAAGAATATCCGGTTTTTGTTGATGTTAACTACTCTTTAAGTAATAGACCTTTTTCAAAAAAAATTTTTTTTGTTATGTTGGTACATCTCTTCTTGACATATGGTACAAATTTGAGCGCCATCTGTCAATTAATTTTTTTACAACAGCTGTTAATGTGAGACTACCTCAAGTGCATTTAGCGATTTTCACTAAAATTCTTGTTGTATGCGATTTTTTGACCAAACACGGCACCACTGTCATCGCTCAGACACCATATTTGCCAGATCTGGCGCCGTGCGACTTTTTCCTGTTCCCGAAACTTAAATTGCCCCTTCGTGGTAAGCATTTTGAGTACATTGAATCGGTAAAAGAGAATTCGCTAAAGGAACTAAAAGCCATACATGCACGGGCATAACAAAAGTGTATGAAAGATTGGGTTAAGCGTTGGCATATGTGTATCGATTCAGATGGAGATAAAATAAATTTGGAATAAAATTTAAATTTGTATGTTCTATCCGGGTACTTTTTGAGCAGAAGATATGACTTTAGGTGTTTGAATAAACAATTTTGATAAGATTTTGTCTTCCTGAACACGTTCCTTTCACAAGAGATTTCAATAAAAACAGCTATAAGTAGCAAGTTCTTCAACTACGCTATTGTTGATATAGCTTTTAGCTCTGCTTCGAGATATCCGACATAAAAGTTGAACATTTTTACATTATAACTACAAAGAATACCTAATTTTTGGTAGTTTAATTAATGTAAAAAGTTGTTAACTTTAAAGGTCTATATCTTGAAAAGTGAGCTATATTAGTATATAGTGTAATGAAAAAAATTGCTCAAAATGAAAGAATCTACCAAAACCGTTATCAAATCGTCGTACCGTTAGAATTTGAATCGCACCACCGTTTTTGAGTAATATAGACATTTTTGACGACATAAATTGCCGGTAAAACTTTTTTGATGCAATGAATGTCGGTTAATCTTGTAATGAACCTTTCCTCTTCCCTCCGTACGAGTTTTTTTTGTTTCTTGGGCTATGGAATCAGCTCAGAAATTTAGATGATATTTTGTATTTATCATAAATATTTTAGTATTGCTTTTAATATTCAATTTCGATTAACTTGCAATCTTTTATAACGACTAAATACTATTCCAATTGCTTATGCTTAGTAAGCATAATTATTAGTAGTAGTTTTTCTGTCTTTAAATATTTGAACGAAAAGTTGTATTGTAAAACGTTTTTTGCAATATATAAATATATATTATATTTGGCGCTGTCTTACTTAGTTGACTTTTAATACTAAAAAATGTTTTACCCCAGCAAAATAAAATTTGATATGCCTAGCATGATGTATTAACAAAGTACATCGGTTTTTTGCTAATCTGCTTATTTGAAACGCGTCATATATATACTTTCTGTGCACATATTTTGTA